TATATATGTATATATGTATAGGATGTGTCAGTTATCAGTCTGATGAACACTCAGTGCTCTCCTGGATGTGTGCCCACTGAGTCTTAAACGTTCCAGAATATTTATTTCTAGGCGAAGTGTTTTTATGATCAACTCTCATTCCTTCAGAAACAGAAGTAAACGCTGTGTCTGCACTTCCCTGCCGTGGCCACCCCGCTAGTTGTCCAAGTAACAGCCTGCTTCAGCCCCGCCATCTTAGCTGCTTCCGTCTGCCAGGTCACTGTCGGAAGGGACCATTCCCCAGAGAAGGATGTCATGCTCGGTAAAGTGCAGGGTCACGGAAGAAGGGGAAGGCTCTCAACAAGATGGAGTGGCACAGCTGCTGTAATGCAGGGCTCCCGCAGAGCAAGGATTGGGAGGCTGGTGCAGGGCCAGGCAGCGTTCTGTTCTATCGTACGTGGGTCACTGTGAGATGGAACTGACCCGACACTTAACAACAGGCTGAGAAGGCGAACAGCTCCGATGAGCTGTGGCTGACGCTGTGAAAGCTGTTCTTGCTGCAAAGACACTTGGTGTAGAAATGAGACTGGCCTGTCCTCCACAAAAAACTAGCACTACCAATGGAGAAGTAGCCTGACAGATGGGTGTACAACACTAAAGCTGACATCATTTCTATTAAAACGAAAAGAAAAAGTGTGTGTGGTTGTTTATTTCTGTTACACGGTCAAACCCGTTCCTATGGCCTGGCTACAAGCACAAATGCGATGCTCGCCTATGGTCAGAGCTCCGGAGGGAGGACGGGGTGTGGGGACAAATGTTTTTTTTTTTTAATCTATACATACTGTTCATGAGAAAGTGAGTGATGCCAGCTCTCCTAAGTGAGAGGGCCTTCATGCAGAGGGCAGCTCATGGTCTTTGCTGACGGCAAGCCGGTTAAGAGTGGGTTCTAGGGATCACCTATCACTCCTCACAGGGCCTCACGGGTTTGCTTCCTGGGAGGTGGCAGCCAGCAAAATCACTCATCTAAGTGCATGTGTTACTCAAAGCCTCCATGTCTTCAGCGTCTGCCACCATCAGCTATCTGGCAATCAGACACAAGGTCACAGATGACAAAATTTTAAGGCACATGGAGTATTTTTGATCTTTTCAAAAAACCAACTTCTGGTCTTGTTGATTTTTTCTATAGCCCTTCTATTTTCTGTTTCATTGATT